AAAACCTTGCCACGCAAAACCAACACAAATTCCTACATGGTTCAATTACAGGACTTCAGCTGATGCTGTCTAGGTGTGAAATTACTCCAGCAGCAGTCTGGCATTCACTAGGGTACCGAGGGCATGAAGTACTTCAGAATGCTCTAGATTACCATGCCAATTCATCCACACTATTAAAAATCTAAGCACAGGGAAATGGCATCCCCTAACAAACGAAAAACCTTCCTTATTGACCCATTGTTTTCACCCCTCCTAGCCTGGAAGCCAGAGCCTGCCTCCCTCGGTACAGCAGAGGAGCTACAAACACAGCGCACAGCTTTGAAATGGTAAATAATGGACATAGAACAGCCCAGAAGATGTGGCAGAGTCTGTCACATCTCCCCTTACCACCCTCACTTTTTAGTATTTGGAAAAGTGGCGTGCTCCTATTTGTCAAAATAGGAGTCAACATCTTGGCAGCCAGTTTTCCACGGGAGCGGAGAACCATCCTCGTTTATCACATGCCTAACAATAATAAAAGCAACAGACAAGGCAGGCAGGTAAACATCTGACTGTAGTTTTTAAAGTCAGCCACTTCAATGGACCCATCACCTCAGATGGCTTATGCTGAAAGACAGACTGCCACAAATACACTGCTACTTCTGCAATGCCCAATTATTTTAAGATATCCTTCCCACATGTGGCAAGCTGCGTTTGAAGGGTGACAATAAAGCACTCTGGTTACTCCAATCCATTTTGCAAGGGATTTATTTGAACACTCCCATAAGGTTAAAATTCGATTTAGTCACCTTAATCCTCGCAGCTGAAGCCTGAGCCCTAAGCCAGGAAGAACCTGATTGCACTGTTTCCCTTTCTCTCTTGATTACGTTTACAATGAGCTGAGAGTTAAGACTTCCTGCCATCACACAGCGTCCCCTGCAGCCAACCACAGCGGCTGTGACAGAAGCATCACTGAGAAACACACTGCCATCCGAGTATCCAGTCAGGCTGAACCCATCCTTGGTGCTGGCTGAAGTGTTAGCAACTCCTCTACCGTACATCTCCTGCTCTGGGAAACATTAAGCAAAAAAACTTCCAGAGATCAAGGACTACCTGGAGTTCCCATTCTAGGAGATGAATGACGTAAGGCAGGTCTTCATCCCTTCTGGGAAAGACCCATAGCCATAACAGGCTTTTCATCAAACTTCTCTACTTGCCATCACAGAGTCACTTGGGGCACGTCAGTAGTGCCACACCAGCATTGACGTACCAGCAGGTATCGGTAAAGAGAGTTGGGATTGCCAAGACCTCTAAGAGTCACCTGCGGTGACATCAGGCATAAAAGGAGGACAGAGTGTTAAGGACTGTAATATATTAACTGCAGGTAAATAAAATTAAGTATTGCCAGATAGTATTAGATGGGAGATTTTGCTAGACAATTTCTTTTTAGTACTTCTGCATAACCTAATGACATTGTTATTAAAAATCCAATAATTGCCAGCAAAACAGAACAATTTAGAAAGCAATTAATTTCCCAATGTCAATTTTTGCAAAGCTAATTTCAAAACTCACATTGCTGCAACTTCAAAATCCAAAAGCACTTACTGTTCCCTGCCCCAAATAAAGGCCCAAGCTAAGAGCACCTATTTAAATTGAACAAAAACTACTACAGAGACACCACTCATTTCCTTATTGAAACTTGTCAGCTGGAGTTGACTCAAATCTATTAAAATAAAAGCACTGGAAGCCCTTTTTCCACCCTCTCCTCCTGCTGCCCCAGGCTCCTCACCCAGCTGCACGTGCAAAGCAGCACGAGCAGAGCCGTGCTTCCTACACTGCATGTGTGTGAGTGTGGGCAAATGAAGATCTGCAGTGTTGCAATTTTCCTGTGGAAATAGAGACTAAGGATCTTTCACCCTGATTTTACCTGACCTCCAAGACCTGAGGGCTCACAGATACACAGCAAATGCCTCGACTGCCAACAACGCACAGAGCAGAGCTGCACTGGATAGAATATTTATGTCTTCCATTTCATTCCTCACTGGATCATACCTGAAATGATACATGGTTAAACCTCCTCCTGAGCCCACCCCCCACCCAAAACTGGCCGTGCCAGCAAAGCTTAGCAGATCAGCAAGAGTAGAAATAAGATGCTTGGACGCATTTTCAGATGTTCACTTTTTTTTTCCCCCTCCATTCTATAAAGGCAGAAAGAGGAAATGCAAAGGGAAATGTGGCTGAGGCAACCTGCCTGCCTCCCAGCTGGGACACTACGGGGGCTGAGACACAGCAGCTATTCTAAGATAAGGGAAGGCTGGCAACCTTCAGATGTCAACATTTAGCAGTGGGCAGTATTTCAAGTATTCACACAGCCATGACCCCTTCTGAGGAATTGCAAGCTTTAGGACTTTTTACACCATAACTGCTCTACAGAAGGGGAAGTGCTATCAAGAAGGGGCTGAAACACTTCCCTCACTCATCCAAGCTTGGGACACCAAGCTTTGGGGCTCGCTGCTGTAATTTGTGAACAAAATGGTATATTCAGGGACCTAAAATAAACCACAGACAAGACCAGAGATAACAATGCTTTATTTGTACATTTCAGCAACAGGAGAAATAATTGAAGATGAAATTATCTGCTTTGTTGTAAAGTATAAAAACATTTAATTATAAATATTTAGCTAAAAAAGCGTGATTTATAAAATATAATCTGTGAAGATATATACACAGTTTAATTGTTTAGCAATTCTTTCACCTGACATTAAAGAGTAGAGGTTTTTCTATTTATTATTCCACACTCACAGTTTAGTGCTCACAGTTTAAGAAGCAAAACAGACAAGTGAAAAGACAACTGGTGAGTTTCATTCTGGAAAGAAAAAAAATAAAATGCACAAACTGGGGTAACAGCAGAAGCAGAATTTGAGCAAATCCATGTTTCGAGAGAGGTCTTTGAGGGAACACAGCTCCCTGCCATGACCTACAGTGTATATATCCCAACAAGCAGTGGGCATTTTAACATTTGTGGGCAAGTTTTCTGTGTTTGCAAAAGAAAATGGCTAATAATATAGTGCAAGCCCTCAGAATTCAGCTAAACATGCTCACCTCGTTCTTCCCCTCTTCAGCAGGGATTGCTCACTATGCTTGGCTGGTGATATCTGTCATGGCTCTAATGAAATCAAACAATGTCACCTTCATGATTCAGGATATGAACAAATTTCCAAATAGAAAACCCCAGTGTGCCATCCAATTGCATCGTCCAGCTGGCAAGATCCCTTAACAACAGATATAGCCGCCTAAGGCTGGAAAATATAGTGAAGCCATACAGTACACTAAATGTGATGGAATGTGAAAAGATACATGGTCAGGCAACTCAGTTTTCTATTCCTTGTATCAAGAGAGGGCCAGCTTCCTCCCTTTGAAGTCTTGGGGATTCTCACTTCTTATGAAAAGGTTTATTACTATGGCACTTCAGAGAAGAAAAAACTGGAAGACTCTCCAACATGCTGGATGGCAGAAAATGCTACAGGAAATGATAATTAATTTGATCCATGTCCCTAGTTACTATCTTTCTCTCTTCACAGTGTTTTCACAGTGCCTATGGCACAGAGCTATGAGGATGAAGGAAAGGGATAGTCAAGGATGCATGACAACACTCAACAGCAGTACAAACGTACAGGAAGTCAGGCTGTACTTCGTACACTGATTTACACAAGACCCCACTACTTGCCTGTAAGCAAGGAATGAATTCCTAAGGAGTTAAGAGAAAAAGGATGTCTAGGAAAGAAGGAAAGAATGAAATCAGCAAACATGACATTTGTCAATGTTCACCGTGATCTGCTACCTGCTGTTTCTGCTTCAGGGTTATGTAGTCCTGACAGTTCAGAGCAAACAGCATGTACACAGCTCTTAGGATTCACATCGCATAGTAACTGCAAGAGTTGTGCCCTTAGAAACTCAGGAGGATCTTCAGGAGAGGAAGGCTAGCAAAGCTGTAACGAGTTTTAGGCAGGATCCAGGCAGTTCTCTCCAAGGTAGAGCCCTGATCTGGGAAACGTACCAAGTCATGTGCAATCTCAGAGTGCATATTGGCTGGTTGGTTACTGAGTAAATGCAGATTTTAACTCCCTGAAAGCCGCCCGGCGGTGTTTCCTTTCCTCTTCTTCCCGCTTTCGCTCATCCTGCTCAGCTCTTATCTCTGCTTCAAACTTACTGGCTGAAGAGAGGGCTTGAACCTTTACAAGAAAGAAAATAAGAGAGTGTCAAGCATTACATCAGAGGGAGAGCCAGAGCCTGAACTACTCCCGGTTTAGCAACACAAAACTGATTGCTGCACCTCCCAGCGCTTGCTGAGAAGCTCTGTCAGGATGGGTCAAGTATTAATTACACTGCAGTGCTTGGGTATTTACACCCAATACCTGTCAGCTTGCTTGACTTTAATGTCAATAAAAGAAAGGTCATTTATTAATAAGTCACTAACAAGTGACCTAAACAATGCTGTCAGTACCATTCTTTCTGTAAGAAGGCAGCATAGCATAAGCTGTGAGTATAGAGTGGGAGAAACCACTGCAGAAAACAGTTCTGAATCACAGCCAAATCTGAGAACATCATACTATACCACAGCTAATCTGCAGATCAAAGAGACATTGTTTATTTGCTGGCTATTTTTCCAGCTTTCATCTCAGTACATCTGCTGTGCAATAGCTGTATTCTGCTCTTGGGAAAAAACTTCTTATATAAACAAGCAGGATTATTTTCTCTCCAAGAGAGCTTTCAAAAAAGGGTGCTTTGTCAGCTTTGAATGGTGCAACGCTCTTTCTGCCAACCCCAGGACCCTGCAGAACAATTTTGATTCCAAAGGTTAGAGAGCTACTCAAGAAAGATGTCAGAAATCTGATACTCCCAAATACTCCATTCACCCCTGAACTCAGTGTTCAGGTTGAGGGAGGTTTTGCAAAATGGCAAACTCAGTCCCATTAGTTTCCAGGACATTTTTGTCTTTGGAAGTGGTGGGCCAGCTAGTCGCATAGAGCTCCCAGCCACAGGGACACAGGTCAGCCAGTCGGCTCTACCAGGACAGACCCACAGCAGAGAAGGTGAATTAAGCCATTCTAGTGCTGACTGATCTGCAGAGGAAGGTTATAGCTAGCGTCCATCATCAAGTTTGAAGGGAAAAATTATGGCTGAGTTTAGGGGTGGGGCATGAAATCTGCATCTTTTTAGCTAGGGAGAAATCTGGCAGTATCTGTTATTGAAAAGCAAGCAGGGTCAGTGTCTCAGTGGCAATTAAGGCCTGCGTACAGAGCATTTTCACGTTCCTCTGTGCCACACCATACCTTAGCTTCAAAGAAGTTCTTGGCTCCTTTGACTCCCTCAATGGAGACATCTATCTCTGAGAGCTTCGCAAGAGTCAACAGGCCGCTGTCCTCCTCGAGTTCCCCAGCTGCGGCTTTATGGAAAATCAGCA